ACGATGACACCAAACCTATGGGATGCAGCAAAAGCAGTTCTAAGAGGGAAGTTTATAGCAATACAGTCATACCTCAAGAAACAAGAAACATCTCAAATAAACAAGCTAACCTTACACCTAAAGCAATTAGAGAAAGAAGAAGAAAAAAACCGCAAAGTTAGCAGAAGGAAAGAAATCATAAAGATCAGGTCAGAAAGAAATGATAAAGAAATGAAGGAAACAATAGCAAAGATCAATAAAACTAAAAGCTGGTTCTTTGAGAAGATAATTGAAATTGAAAAACTATTAGCCAGACTCAACAAGAATAAAAAGGAGAAGACTCAAATCAACAGAATTAGAAATGAAAAAGGAGAAGTAACAACTGACACTGCAGAAATACAAAGGATCATGAGAGATTACTACAAGCAACTATATGCCAATAAAATGGACAACCTGGAAATAACGGACAAATTCTTAGAAAAGCACAACCTTCTGAGACTGAACCAGGAAGAAATAGAAAATATAAATAGACCAATCACAAGCACTGAAATTGAGACTGTGATTAAAAATCTTCCAACAAACAAAAGCCCAGGACCAGATGGCTTCATAAGCGAATTCTATCAAACATTTAGAGAAGAGCTAACATCTATCCTTCTCAAACTCTTCCAAAATATAGCAGAGGGAGGAATACTCCCAAACTCATTCTACAAAGCCACCATCACCCTGATACCAAAACCAGACAAGGATGTCACAAAGAAAACTACAGAACAATATCACTGATGAACATAGATGCAAAAATCCTCAACAAAATACTAGCAAACAGAATCCAACAGCACATTAAAAGCATCACACACCATGATCAATTGGAGTTTATCCCAGGAATGCAAGAATTCTTCAATATATGCAAATCAATAAATGTGATACACCATATTAACAAATTGAAGGAGAAAGATCATATGATCATCTCAATCGATGAAGAAAAAGCTTTTGACAAAATTCAACACCCTTTATGACAAAAACCCTCCAGAGTGTAGGTATAGAGGGAATTTACCTCAACACAATAAAGGCCATATATTACAAACTGATAGCCAACATCATTCTCAATGGTGAAAAACTGAAACCATTTTCACAAAGATCAGGAACAAGACAAGGTTTCCCACTCTCACCACTCTTATTCAACATAGTTTTGGAGGTTTTAGCCACAGCCATCAGAGAAGAAAAAGAAATAAAGGAATCCAAATCGGAAAAGAAGTAAAACTCTCACTGTTTGCAGATGACTTGATACTATACATAGAGAGTCCTAAACACTCTACCAGAAACCTACTAGAGCTAATCAATGAATTTTGTAAAGTAGCAGGAAACAAAATGCACAGAAATCTCTTGCATTCCTGTACCCTAATGATGAAAACTCTGAAAGAGAAATTAAGGAATCACTCCCATTTACCATTGCAACAAAAATAATAAAATACCTAGGAATAAACCTACCTAAGGAGACAAAAGACCTGTATGCAGAAAACTATAAGACACTGATGACAGATATTAAAGGTAATACAAAGAGATGGAGAGACATACCATGTTTTTGGATTGGAAGAATCAACATTGTGAAAATTACTCCACTACCCAAGTAATCTACAGATTCAATGCAATCCCTATCAAACTACCAATGGAATTTTTCACATAACTAGAACAAAGAATTTCACAATTTGCGTGGAAACACCAAAAACCCCACATAGCCAAAGCAATCTTGTGAAAGAAAAACGGAGCTGGAGGAATCAGGCTTCTGGACTTCAGACTATACAAAAAGCTGCGGTAATCAAGACAGTATGGTACTGGCACAAAAACAGAAATATAGGTCAATGGAACAGGATAGAAAGCCCAGAGATATACCCACGCACATGTGGTCAGCTTACCTTTGATAAAGGAGGCAAGAATATACAATGGAGAAAAGATTGCCTCTTCAATAAGTGGTGCTGGGAAAACTGGACAGCTACATGTTAAAAGAATGAAATTAGATCACTCCCTAACACCATACACAAAAATAAACTCAAAATGGATTAAAGACCTAAATGTAAGTCCAGACACAATAAAACTCTTAGAGGAAAACAGAGGCAGAACACTCTATGACATAAATCCCAGCAAGATCCTTTTTGACCCATCTCCCAGAGAAATGGAAATAAAAACAAAAATAAATAAATGGGACCTAATGAAACTTAAAATCTTTTGCACAGGAAAGGAAACCGTAAATGAAACGAAAAGACAACCCTCAGCATGGGAAAAAATATTTGCGTTGAAGCAACTGACAAAGGATTAATCTCCAAAATTTACAAGCAGCTCATGCAGCTCAATATCAAAAAAACAAACAACCGAATCCAAACATGGGCAGAAGACCCAAACAGACATTTCTCCAAAGAAGACGTACAGATTGCCAACAAACACATGAAAGAATGCTCAGCATCACTAATCATTAGAGAAATGCAAATCAAAACTACAATGAGGTATCATCTCACACCAATCAGAATGGCCATCATCAAAAAATCTACAAACGATAAATGCCTGGGAGGGTGTGGAGAAAAGAGAACCCTATTCACTGTTGGTGGGAATGTAAGTTGATACAGCCACTATGGAGGACAGTATGGAGGTTCCTTAAAAAACTAAAAATAGAACTACCATACGACTCAGCAATCCCACTACTGGGCATATACCCTGAGAAAACCAGAATTCTAAAAGAGTTATGTACCACAATGTTCACTGCAGCTCTGTTTACAGTAGCCACGACATGGAAGCAACCTAGTGTCAATCGACAGATGAATGGATAAAGAAGGTGTGGCACATATATACAATGGAATGTTTCTCAGCCATAAAAAGAAACAAAATTGAGTTGTTTGTAGTGAGGATGGACCTAGAGTCTGTTGTACAGAGTGAAGTAAGACAGAAAGAGAAAAACAAATACCATATGCTAACACATATATATGGAATCTAAAAAAAAAAAAAAAGGTCTGATGAACCTAGTGACAGGACAGCAGTAAAGACGTAGAGAATGGACTTGAGGACAGGGGAAGGGGAAGGGGAAGCTGGGACGAAGTGAGAGGGTGACATGGACTTATACATACTACCAAATATAAAATAGATAGCCAGTGGGAATCAGCCGCATAGCACAGGGAGATCAGCTCAGTGCTTTGTGATCACCTAGAGGGGTGGGATAAGGAGGGTGGGAGGGAGACGCATGAGGGAGGAGATATGGGTATATATATATATGTATAGTTGATTCACTTTGTTATAAAGCAAAAACTAATACACCATTGTAAAGCAATTATACTCCAATAAAGATGTTAAAAAAAAATACTTTCCAAGACATAATCAAATCCTACCCTGCTGATTATTTTCTGGAATCATGTTATTTTTGTTATGCATTCTTTTATTAGAATTAAACAGGCTATATTAAAGAGCAATAAGAATGGACTTTAAGATCATAATGAAAACAGAATGTATGGCTTATAGCTAGAAATCAAATAAGATACAGACCCAGAGGTACTGCAGACCACAAGCTGTAACAATGCAGGTAGGTTTCAAGAAGAGAGTTCAAAATAATGCAGTATGCACCAAAAATATTGCCTACCTCCTAGATGATGAGGCAGGATGCAGGTGGAAATTGTAGCAGTAGACAGGGTGAGCAGGGAGTTTGGAAGCAAGGATGGCAATTCAAGATCAATAAGTAGTTACTGGGTTCAGAAAGAAATCACAGGGAAATCTGAAAAGAAAGCTAAAAGACAAGCACGGAAGTAAATTCTGAGACATCTCTCCTGGTCATATGCTCATAGGATATGTTCACTATAAGGGCATGAACACAACCCATGGTCTAGTCAGTCCAGTATTAGCATGTAAATTAAAGAAGCCCACAACTGCAGTTTAAGACAACACACATTATGGTCTTTATATATTCAGACAACATTCAGAGATTATGCAAATTTTCTGAAATCATCTTTGACATTCTCATTTGGGAATTCATAAATGTTCCCATCCTTGAGGATGGTTAGCATACTGAGGTGTTTCTTCAGGTGTGCGTTAAATGAATGTTGTACCCACTTTTTTCTGCTGTCTATACTGTGATATAAAACCTGGCTTAAACTCTGTGTGTGTGTGTGTGTGTGTGTGTGTGTGTGTGTGTGTGTGTGTGTGAGAGAGAGAGAGAGAGAGAGAGAGAGAGAGAGAGAGACTTAAATGGCTTACTGGGCAACAAACCATAGAAGCTTTGCTTCTCAAGCAGGAATAAGCATTTTTAGGAAGATAGGAAGAAAACCTGACTTTCATTTTCACAACTTATTCAGATTCCTGAGATGATGGGGGCCCAGATACTTACTGACTGCCGATGGTGAAGTCCCTGTAGAGTGTGGGTGGAGGTCTCAATTAGGTCCCAAAGGAGATCAAAGGTTGCTTTTGATGATTGTGTTTCCCACCAGGTTGGGTATACTAGAAAACATTAGAAAGTTGTTCCCAGTGCAGATGAAGGCATGGGAGATTTGGGGATGGGTGAATTATGGTGGGAACAGTCAGCTTTGAAACCTATAAGGAAAGCTTCAAAGCCTTCAGATTAATACTCAGTTGGTGATTTCAGTTAAGACTTTGAGTGTGTATTAATTTCATCTCCAAAAGAAGGGAAACATCTACTGCTTAATAATGCCATTTTTATATCCAAGACACTGTTCATGATATTATTTTTTGTGCCAAGATTCTCTTCCTAGGCATGGTTGAACTCCACCAACAACCTGCTCCTATTTATTATCCTGTGATACTAAAGCAAAAATAAGGAAAGGAAGCAGACTACACACCCCCAATTGTGTGTTGTGTGTATGCTCTGTTATTAGTTATACACCAGCTAATAAAGCTATCAAATATAAACATTTTGTTAAAACATTGATGCTGTTTTCCCTGTCTTTCTCAAGACTCTTAGATCCCTTTGTATTTGTTATAATTTTGTTACTGAGGAAAAAAAAAAAGGAAACTAATTGTATCTCTTATTTCAGGCTGTCAAGTTTGAATGGAACCTTGAAAGTCCTCTAGTGCAACTTCTGTTACACCGCTCACTGCAAAGCATCCAGATTGCCCATCGTCTTCACTGGTAAGATTAACCAAAATAGGTTAGAATACCTTTTTTTATTGTCAACTTTTCTCTGTGGGGCAGCTTTCCCTTGTAATTGATACAAACTTCCACTTAAAATTCAGCCAAATTTGAGTCTTTGTCAAGGTTATTTTTATTTATGAGTATAATTTAACTGTTATCATCTTCAAAATCTTCCTTTCGTACCATTGCTGCTCTTTAAACCAACCAGAATTTTAAATCTGGATGATACCTTTCCTATAGCTTTAAATCACAAGGTCTACGTGTGATCACGTCTACTTGCTTAATATTTCAATATAAAATCTAGTTATAAGACTGTGTATGTTTTGGAAGAATGTATGCTTTAAAAGAAATTTCTGTACAATATTAGTTATAAACAGTGGGGTCTAAAGACCAATATGTGCTCTTTAAGTTAAAAATTCCTACAGCACTAAACTTTTCCCAAAGCATAAATTTTGAATATTATTAGTGGAGAAGTCAGACTTATTTAAGAGATACCAGAATTCCTCATCATAACCTGCTCCTGATCCTACTGAACAAGCTATTCTTTGGATGCTGTTCTCCCTACTTTTATTATAACATTGTAAATTCACACAAAAATTTTAGCAATTACAGATGTCAGTGACCTAAGGATGAAATTGAATCTATCCTTTGTCCTCACATATGTATAACAAGCATCATTTATTGGCTTCAATTGCTAGTGGAGAACTTTAATAAGAAAAAAAGGAAGTCAATATCATTTTTGAATATCATGTTTTTCTGCTTCAAAAAACATTACTCGTGTTGACATCACTCTTCCCATGAAAATGACTCAAGGATTTCATAGCAAAATAGAAATACAAGGAATTGTCAAGCACTAATATTTGACTTGCTGCTGAATTTCATTTCAAATTCCTAATAGAAATGCTAGGGCATTTTCCTCTAATATGTCAGTATAATTAGGCATCAGATATATTGGCAAACAGTGGGCCTTTCACTAAATAGACTCTTATCCAACTCTGAATTGAGTCTTATTTCCTACCATTTTTCGATCAGCTACTTTGGTGGGAAGTTAAGTGGATACACTTGTTGGTGTTTCACTGTCATAATAAAGCTAGAACTCCATTAACCCCAATGTTTATTTCCCTTAAAACTTCACTTTTTTTCACTTTTCACTTTTTTAACATATGTTTATTCAAATGAAGGCATATTAAAAAATAACATGACCACCTAACAATCTTGATATAAAATATTTGAACCAAAACATAATATAAAATATATAAAATAAAAAAGCATATAGAAAGATAATTTTAAAAAAATAGAATAAAATATTAAGGACTTATCCTAACACATTGATTGTTATAATACTAATTCTAGAGCCACCTTAGTAAGTTCTTCATCTGCTAAAAGGGTGTGAAAAGTGGAGTAATTTGAAAGACAGCAATGAGTGCAAAGTTGTCAATCAATGTCATATTTGCAGATTCACAATAAATACAATAAAGTCACTGTTTCCAAAGAAGTTAGGAGGAAAGACTTTCTAAGTATGGTTCTCACCCTTATAAAAAAGAGAAAAAACAATAACAAAGCCCATTTCTCTTCTCACTGATTTAAGAGAGTAAGTTAGAAGGGCTAGAAAAGAATATAAGTTATAAATGGACTGCTTGTTTCTGAATGCTTAATTTGTGAAAATATGGAAAAGGAAAAGGAAAACGTGGAGGGAAGTATTTAATTACCCACATTCTTTTAAAACTTAAATAAAAATTAAGAATCAGGCAAAATATCCTAAGCATCAAAGAGCATTACATATATTTAGAATATATCTTGGAGTTAAAAAATAATAGCTGCTGGTGCATAGCATCATATTTAGGGGACATTTGTTTGTAGAATATTGATTTTTTGTGTGTAGAATATTGAGTTAAAACTTTAGAGATGCAGCTCAGACCCTGCATGATACACTTAAAAATATTCTCAATATATCTTTCCTTAAAAAACAAAACAACAACAACAAAAGCCAATACCCTGTAATTTTAAAAAATGATAGAGATCCATCAGACATCAGTTTAATGATTTTTCTCCACTCGGGTGAGCTCCTGCTTCCTCATATTCAGCATGTTCAACACTGAACGCAGCAACTTACCCTGCTCACTCAGGTCTTGGAGGCTTTTCTGGATCTTCCCCATTTCTCACGAATATGCCCAGTTGTTTACCAAGCCCTATAATCCTATACCTCCTAAATAGCTCTCCCTGCATCCACTGCTTCCACCTGTCACTGCCACTGATCAGAATGTTGCCTCATCAGATACTGAGTTATGAATAAACAGGCTTGCACAGAAACCATCTTGACTACTTGCCATCACTGGGTAGCCTTCCTGAAAAGGGAAATTGACTTGGAGTTACTGTTGGAAGGGTGATGTAGGATAAGTATCCCCTTTTTTTCATGAAAAGGGAGTTAACAATAAGCTTTGGATTGGGAAGGTTTAAAAGCTTTCAATCACAATTTGCACCCTAAAAGGTGACTGTAAATGAGTACAGTAGCATTTGGAGTTCACAACTAGGAGGCCCCTCCCCCATCATATAACAATTTTAGAAACTTAAACTCAGTGCCCCTTTCCGTTTTGAATAAGAAACAAACAGCTGTCACTAGCTGGTAGTGAGATATTGGGTTGAATGGGGCTCCCCAAAAGATATACCTACATCTTAACTCCAGGAACCTGTAACTAAGACCTTATTCGGAAAAAGGGTATTTGAAGATGTAATTAAATTTAAAATCTTGAGATTAAATCATCCTTTATTATCAGGGTGGGTCCTAAATCCAATGACAAGTGTCCTTATAAGAGACAGAGGAGAAGATGCACACAAACAGAAAAGGCCATGTGGAGATGGAGTCAATACAGCCCAGAGCCAAGGATTGTCCAGGGTCACCAGAAGCTGGAAGAGGCAAGGAAGGATTTTCCCCTAGAGCCTTGAAAGGGAGTACAACCTATCTTGATTTCAAACTTCTGGTGTCCCGAACTGTGAGATTAATTTCTATTGTTTAAGCCATCAGTTAGTATTAATTTGTTATGGCAGCCACAGGAAATATACAGCAAGGAAAGGACTTTATGAAGGTCTCTGACTAGATTGGCTCTGATGTCACATCATGCAGGAAGCTTTCCTTGACCCTCTCCCCAGCCACTGTCCAGGGCTGATTGAGTATTGCTCCCATGTTGTATCCCAGAGTATACTCTACATGACTCAGCAGATGTCGTGTCACACAACCTTAACACTTCTATTCCCTGTCTGCGTCCACTCCTGGTCCATATAGTGGCTAATGAGAGCAATCATGTCATACTCATCAGCATACTAATCACACCAATGTCTGGAACTCAAGAGGTGCTGAAAAAAGTTTTTAAAATCACGAAACCATAGAAATTTCTCTAAGGCTGTCAATATTTTCACATGCTTGGAATTCAGTGCATTCTCAAAGGCACTGTTAGTGCTCTAGCCAAATCCCCTTTACCTGGCTGGTGGACCCATCTTGCAGTTTCAGTGAATATTGACTGCCAACTGACAACTGCCTCTTCTCTGGAGAGTTGTTCTCTGCTAACATAGCTACCTGGTCTGGGAAGTGGGAAATCTTTAAGGTACAATTTACATTCCAGAACCTCCCCAGGGATGAATCAAAGCTAGATGACCTCTTGGTTAACTCCTTCCCCTCCCCTACAATGCTTCTCTTACTTCCTTAAAGGTTTCTTTCCTAAAGAGCACTCCTTCAGTAAATCACATACACCTTAATTCCTGTTTCATAGTGTGTTCTAGGGGAAGCTTACCTAAGATAAGCATTTCTTTATTGAAGAAAAAGAATTGAAATATGTGTTTTTTAAAAATCGGAGCATCAGTATGCTAGGGATGTGTCACAAATGGAACAGCAGTATTGCAGTCTTTCATACCCCTAATACTAGTTTGATTGAATGAGCTCTAAGAGAACCATTTTGAATCGAAATCTGTATAAATTGTTTTTTAAGGCCTATCCTACAAAACTCTGAAAGCATTCCCTTCAAAGTGTGGGGTTAACCTGAGATGACACACTTGCAAACTCTCTAAGTGCAGCAGTTTTTTTCTGTTTTATTCACTGATATAGCACAAGCACCTAGGGCAATACTTGGCACTTGATAAATATTAAATAAATTTTTACTGAATGAATGAATAGGAAAAAGTTGCCCAACTGGGTACATGCAGACTTGTGACATAGGAGGGCTGTTTGAGCAGTCAGTGCGTCTTGATGCCAAACAGATTTGGCACGACTAGAACGATGTCAGATCATTGACCCAGTCAGGTACAAGGCAATGCATATCACTAGTGAAGTCAAAACTGGATTGGAGGGGGCTTCCCTGGTGGCACAGTGGTTGAGAGTCTGCCTGCCGATGCAGGGGACACAGGTTCGTGCCCCAGTCTGGGAAGATCCCACATGCCGTGGAGCAGCTGGGCCCGTGAGCCATGGCAACTGAGCCTGCGCGTCCGGAGCCTGTGCTCCGCAATGGGAGAGGCCACAACAGTGAGAGGCCCACATACCGCAAAAAAAAAAAAAAAAAAAAAAAAAAACTGGATTGGAGGGAGAATGTGAGCAGAAGTCAGGGACTAACCTGAGTCAGGAATTAAGGCCTGAAAAACAAGCTGGTGCAATGTCTGCTGGACCAGTTGGGAGAACCATGGAGTGAATTAAGGCCATGGTGTCTCTGGGATCACGAGGACTTTCCAAGGTTGCTCATGGTATTAAAGGACTACATGAGCTTTAATATACTATGCATAAAATTGAGATGTTGCAAAATCTGCCCATTCATCTTCTCAACAATCTAAACTTATCTAGAATTTTGGGGCAATTTCTCAAATCAGGGACTACTCTAAATAAAGCAAAATAATGTGGAAATTTTGCATCATATGATTTGAAGTCCTATGTTCCCCTCACCCCCTCTCCTAAATATGTCTCCCCAGTGCCTGAAATTCTCTCATTAGCAAGTCACCCCTTTAGGTTAACATTGTTC